AAGCTAACTGAGAAACGGCAGTTGGATCGCTTTCTCCTTCAGAGCAGTTAGCTTTCTGAAGCTAACTGAGAAACGGCAGTTGGATCGCTTTCTCCTTCAGAGCAGTTAGCTTTCTGAAGCTAACTGAGAAATGGCAGTTGGATCGCGTCATTCATGCACCCACTCCTCTGCCTGATTGTCGGTCCATGATGGCGACGAGGGTGGACAAGGCACCGGGGCGTCTGGTGGTTGTTGGTGAGTGACTGATACTTGGTGCGGGTCATCAAACACCCGCATGCCGTTCAGATAGTCGCTAAGCTATAAGACCGCTACGCAGTCCATTGTCTGCGTTCTGATGCCAATTTCTCCCCCCTCAGGAATAAAAAAGTCTTCCCTTTTCCGACCCCAGTCTGTTGAGCCGAGCTAGCTGCGACGGCGAAGGCGGGACGTCGTGTCGGTACGGGCCCTTCGGCGACCCCGGCTCCTTCAGGTGGGGGACGTACCCCTCGTAGGCGCTGCTCCCGCCGCCTTCCTGCAGCATCTTTCCTTTGGCTTCCTGCTCCCTGCGCCTCTGCTCCTGCCGCAGCAGCTCCTGGGCCTCCAGCAGGACTCTGGCGTTCACGCCGCCGCCGCCGCCGCCCGGGTAGCCGTTCCGGGAGCCCTGGTAGCTTGAGTACCGGGGGTTGTCTTTGGCCGTCTGGAAGACGTCTCCAGGTGGGTACGCCTTGTCCCAGGAGTCCTGGGAGACGGTGCTGGGATTCTTCCTGGGTTGTCTGATGGAGGAAGAGCAAAACAAGGAAACGACTGAGAGCAGCTTTTGATGCAAAGGGGCGCTGCGCTACAGAGGGCGCCAAACAACAATCACTCCTACTGGAGAAGGGCAAGAAGAGGTTAATCAGACAAAATCTAAAATTTGTTGTTAAAATGTCAGATTATTATTATTTTAACGGGAATTTTTCAATATAACAAGAAAATTTCTGAAAGATGAAACTCAACATGAAAAAAACTTTGTTATAACAAGTTTATTTATCTGATTAAAACAAAACTAACAAAAATTAATAACGCTTTATCTCGTATATAACAAGTTTTTTTTATCTCATTAAACATGGTTAATGCCAAAATGACATTTTTTCATTTAAACTAATTTTTTGTTAAAACGTCAGATTATTTTAACCAGAATTTCTTGTTATAAAAATAAACTTGTTGAAAGTAGATAAAGCTCAGATTTTTCTCAATAAAACAAGAAACCTGTTTCTCATTTATACAGCAAAAACAAAAATATTGTTCTTGTTTAAATGTGAAAAGTCGCAACACGTCCAGAAGAAACAGATTTCAGTTCAGAACTTTTCATTTCTCGTTAAAACGAGACGCTGCTTCTGAATTTAACGCGCCGCATCTATGCAGCGGGAAGTTTTTACAAATTTGTAATCATAGAAAGAAACCCAGTGAAAAATGCTTTAAACTGACTTAATGACTCAGACTTCAGTCAAAATGGCCGATGATACCAGCCAATCCAGAAGCACCATTTGTTTTTCTGGTTGCTGATTGGCTGAACCCTAAAGATGAAGACTAAGCGAATCACTAAGACCGTATTAATGCGTCTTAAGGTATGTTTGATGCTTGAACTATTAAAACAGTTAAAATGTTTTTTTTGTTTCCTTTTCCTTCCAGAAAGTTAGAGCGGTGTGAATAGTTTCCTCCAGAGCAGCTTTGGCCAACATGCGAAATGAAACCGGCTGTCGGCGCAGCGTGAAGCATCAACCTGGGCCGACTCGTCCCATCTCACCCATCAAGCAGCGAACCCGTCCTCAACTGGAACCAATCTCCACCGAACGTAAAACAAAGCTCTGCTCTGTTCTCATTAAAGGATTTCCAACAGTTTTTACCCTTTTGTCGCCACTTCCTGCTGAAATCTAAACAGAGGAATAATGCGATTTCTCCACAGCTGGGAGATAAACGCGATAATTATGCCTGGCTCTGAATCAAAAGCGCAACGATCCTCCTCATCCTCCTCCGCTGCACAAAGGCAGAGCGGCCGACTGGAAATGATATCTGATGACACACATCTGCATCTTTCTCTTCCACCTCCTAAATGTTTTCTGAAGCTGCCCAGATTCAAAACATATTTTATTTCATACAAAAAGTATGTATTTAGATTTTTTCTTTACCTGCTCAACCATAAACTGAGCAGGTAATTTAGGAAAGCGATGTATAAATCATCAAAGATCCAAACTTTTAAAAAGTAATCCAGTTTTTTGCGCTAACCTGGGGGACCGCAATAAATCAGCTCAGGGGCCGCAAAAGGCCCCGACTCCTCACTTTGGACACAATTTAACATTTTTCTGAGAAACTACATCTTTGGTTTTCAGCCACAATAAATGATGTTAACAGAAATAAAGATTTAAAGCAGACCTGAACCTTCAGGAACACATAAAGGCAATTACAAAGTCGGCCTTTTATCACCCGATGAAAGGAATTAATCCCACGAGTTTGAATAATAAACAAAAACAGATCATTTTTTAATGATATTCCAGCTAATTGAGTAGGATATAATTAAACAGCTCAACGGCCTCCTGGCAGAAGCGGCTGAGCGGAAATGATAACTGATGTCACACATCTGGATCGTTCTCTTCCTGCATGTTTCCAGGTGAAGCTGCCCAGACTCGTGATGCCCGGCCGCCTTGTTTCTCTGGGTTCGCCGCCGTTGCTGCGTGTCAGGTCCGATGCGCGTTCCAGTCGGTCTCGGCGCGGGCCTAATGGTCCGGAAGCGGATGCTGAGGCAGTTAGGGATCCCCGTACAGAGCTGCTGCCGGCTGGTAGATGCCCACAGGCGGTTTCTGTGAGGCTCATTTCTTATTGAATCTGATGTTTGGCCCTCTGAGGACGCCCACAAACACAAATCTGCCCCTCGAAATCCAACGAGCTTCGAATAAAATCTCAAAAACGTCACAATCTATTCCTGAAGAGGTTTCAGATTCAGTCCTCTATGGTGGAAAAGACACTTTTATTTTGATAAAAAAAGAGACTTTTTGAACTATTTTCCCCAAACGTCCTGAAGCTACGGAGCTCAAACTGAGGAAAAACTCAACTTTGTGCCAAATACCAACCATTCCACCTTAAATTATCCGACATCGTCACATCTTAGAGGATTTTAAGCACAACATACATTAAAATGATCAAAAAACTGAACAAAATAGATTTAAATGTTTTGTGACTAAACACCAAAATCTGACAAGAGAAAAAACATCTAAAAGAATGTTGGTTTAATTATTTTAAGTTATAAACGAACAGTAGGCCTTAAAAAGTTTTTCAAGGTTTCATTTAAATTTTTCAAGTGATTTTTTTTTTTTTTTTTTGCTTGCAATAATTTTGGAACAAATTTCTCTCCATACTATAAATTAGGGCCAAAATTTTTGAAACTGAAAACATTTTTACGTAGGGGGGAAAAAAACAGATTTGAAACAAAATCTCTACATGATCACAATCTGTGACCAAGAAGATTTTTTTTACGGCAGTCAGAGTGAGAAAAATCTTAATTTGGTGTCAAATATGAGCCAATCCACCGCAACTTATCCCACATGACGACGTTTTAAAAGGTTTCCTGACAGCAAAACACATTAAAAATGATCAAATGACTGAACAAAGAAAGATTCAACCTCAAAGTCACAAACTTTTAGGAATTTTTTCTCAATTTACAACTGAAATCCAAAATCTGACAAAAAAAGAATGAAACTTCTTAAAAAATATTTTTTTCCGTTTCATTTTCAAAACGCTTTTTTTTTTTACTATTTCAATTCTGAAACATGTTTTTTTTTTTTTTGCTTCCAAACATATTAGAACAAATTTCACTCCATGCTAAATTAGGAAAAAAGAATATGTGTGTGTGTATATATATATATATATATATATATATATAAAAACAAAGAAAACAAGATTTGAAAACAAAAAAATGAAAAAAATTTCAGCTAAGTAATTTTTTGGTGAGTTTTAAACATTTCTGAGAAAAATGCAGAGCAAACTCATCAACATAATTTTTTGTAAGATTTGTGTCGTCTGTCAACATTAGTGGCGAATATATATAATAATATCAATNAAAACATCCTGAAAACACCCTAAAAACACCATGCAAACATCCTGAAAACACCTTGAAAACACAAACTGCAGGTTCTAACGGTTCAAAGAAATTTTCACCTGAGTGATGTCATCTGGACAGGAGAGACTAGAGGAGCCATGTTGGACCTGATGCACTGTGTCAGGAGGGACAGCTGGTCCAGCTGAAGCATGGTAGTGGAGGTATGATGAGGAAGAACTGAAACAGTTAGAAAAGTGGATCAAAGTTCGTCCATGTCATTTTGAGATGAAGAGTTTTGATTATTTTGTTAAATTGCAGATGTAAAAAAGTTTCAGATTTATATTTTGATGTGAAGAGGAAGTTACCAGAGGAACTGTTTGGTTTGAGTTGTGAGTCCAGAAGCAGCGAAGGTGGCGGAGTAGGACTTCATCCTGTGGGTCTCTGGTTCGATTCCCACTCTGTCTGCTGTCTGAATTTATTTAAAGTTTTTATCACTAAAATTAAGTTACCTTCAGGGAAAAGAAAAACAAATAATTATACAATGCAATGTGATTCAAACCCAAAACTTGAAAATCCCAGCCCACCTGAACCCACCGTCAGACCAGCGTGGGACTGGTGGGAAATCAGTTCTTCCCTTAAGGAAACATTGATCCTGTTTGCTTCCTGATTCATGATGAGCTGCTAAGTTTTACCCACCAGGAGAAAAACAAAGTCTGATCTGTTCTGAGATCTGGACAGAAGCAAACGGCAAAAATAAACATTTTGAGTTTTTTCTCCCCATCTTTCCCAGATCAGGCAGGTAAATCTACTGAGTTGACCCTTGACCCTTCATGTTGCGCTTTAGCAGACTGCGCTGAACTGGAGATGCTCCTGTGTGTCTCTGTTTCTGACTGCAGCCAAGAGGATCACTGCTGGTTTCTGCAGAGACCAGCGCCGCCGTGCGCCGTTTGGCGAACGGAGGAGAGAAATGTTGGCAGGAAACTGCAGCTGATTTTTCGCCTGGAGAAGCACACCAGTGCAAACACCTGCAGATTTTTATTTTCCATGCATTTGTTATCAGGGCTGCGTTTTAATGGCGCGGTAAATCACAGCTGACAGGCCAGAGCGGTGGCGGCGGCGGCCCACCGCTCTTTACAAGCAGAGAGGAACGACGGCGGCGCTGCGAGTCCAGTTATTAACGCTGCAGCACCATGAAGACAAGATGGAGGAAAACAGCTGTTTTCTGAAACCTGTTCAAAACTTTACTCAGTTCAGATCACAACCTGATAGGTCCTCTGTCTGGTTGCCTAGGAAACACAGTGAAGCATGATGGGTAAGGTCTAAATTAGCCACTGAAATATTAACCAACAAAACATTAATAATCTGTCCATCAAAATTATTATGATGCATCAAAACAACAAAGTTTTTTCTGATGTTTTTTAAAACTGGCAGCTGATTAGCATCTCAGAAGCTCAAGTAACACATGAACTTTGACCCCAAGTCCTAGAGGAGTTGAAAAGGAGCAGAAAGGAACAGGAAGTTGAATCATCACTTCCTGTTAGAAACAGGAAATATTTGGCAAACAAACTAGATGAACTTCAAACCCAGTTAAACCCCAGAGATTTACATTAGCGATGGTTGAATGGATCGGATCCCTCTGATCCACTTTCTAACCAGAGATTTAAAGAGGAGCAGCAAAAGCAAAGGTGATGGATTAGCAGCTGATCATATCATCCAGTCATCTTACTGTAGATCATTGTCTCTGCTGCCTGACGCTGAGCTGTTAGCACGTTAGCATGACAACATGCTAACATAGAATGCTGCTGACTGAAGACAGCAGCAGTCTTCAGTCAGAGGCTTTTCCAGAGTCACTGTGTGACTGACTGCTGCTGGAGCTGCTTCCAGCCCACAGCATCACTATTCAGAGACTCTTTAAGAGTTACGACGACATTTAGTTTCCCTTCAGGACAAATAAAGTATCTCTGTTAGATGTTCCTAAAGCTGGAAACTAATTATTTTATAAACTGCAAAACATTTCAGACATTTGGAATCAAAGGAGTAAAAAACTGAAAGTTTGTAAGATTTTCTATCTGAAGGTTGAAGGGAATAAAGACTCTGCTTCCTCCTCTGTGTTTTCAGATGTGGACTCTCCTAAAGAGATCCGTCTGTCCGTCCTCCTCAGGTTTTCTGTGGATTTGCTCTGAATTTCCATCTTTGGCTCGTCTGAAAGTTTTCTTAATGATGAGGAGGAAGTCTCTCATTCAGGGCCGAGCGATCGTCTTTGTCTCTGAAAAATGTAAATTGATTCCAGAGGACTTAATTCATTTGGTTGGATCTCCTCTCCCGGCCGCCTCAGGCGCAGTCGAGCTGCAGTCTTGGAAAACTTTGGAAACTGTTTTCCAGATCCGAGGTTTCAGTCTTTGTTCGTCTCTGGGGTGAAAAGTTTTCACAAACTTTTTATCTTTGATCAGAGGAGAAACTGAGGAGAAAATGAAACGTTGCTCTGGAGTTAAAACTCGTCGACGGTCTGAAAGGACGGACGGATTATTCAGGTAGAACCTGAATAATCGTCAGGATTTAGTTCACACCTTTTTATTCTGACTGCAGAAACAAACGTTCTGCTCCTTTAAACATGTTTCACTGAAGGTTTGCAGTCTTTATCTTGCAGTGCAGCCACACACACACACACACACACACACACACACACACACACACACACACACATTGTTTTCTGTGCTCAGAGATGAAGACCTGAAGTGTTTGAGCAGAGATCAGCCTCCTGTCTGCTGCAGGCAGAGACTCAACGCTTCACTTTTCACTCAGTCAGACAAACAGCTAAACTCACAGCTGACACTCCGTGTTTCTCTGCCGAATCTTCATCGCTCTTTTCTCTGCTCCTCTTCATCCCCAGAGAGCCATCTTTCATTTCCGGCCGTTCTCTCCGGCTCCACCTTCCTCCCGTCTGGTTGAGCGGCGTGCAGAGACGCTCCGCTGCTGTCAGAGCTGGAAGCTGAAACATACATGAGGAGATCTGGAGCTCTGCTCTCTCTGCAGATATCAGGAAATCACATTTGTTCCATCACATCATAAATCATAAACTATAATGTTTGCATCAGACGTCAGCCGGCCTGAAGAAAAGACAGGATGGATTCCAGAACGTTAAAGTTTCAACAAACTGCAGAGAAAAATGAGAAAATGATTTCAATCTGCAGAGAAACAGGAAAGTTTTTCGATGCGACTTCATGACTTTTTTTGGTCGTATCCAAATCGGTCTATTTCACAAAACTACAATTAAAACTATTTCCACATCAGGAGTCACATGATCAACATGTGGCGAAAACCACGAAGAAGAAGAATACAGGAAGTGGCTGGAGGACGAAGCGCTGTGTGTTTTTTAAATGACTAATCATGTGAACAAACTTGTGCATGTGTGCTGTTAATGGTTTCGTTGTTAGAGGAAAGATCGCAACTGCAAATTTGTGTTTTATCAACATTAGTGGGATATTGACAACGTTTTGGTAAATATTTGTAATATAAATGCAGATCATTTCTTAAGAAAATTGAATTTTGTAATTGGTGAAATACACCAATAAAAAGATTTCAAAATCCTCATTTTAGACCAACTATCTGCGTTTCTGTTGACTATGAAATTATGCAAGTTGGAATTATGAAAATAAGATGGCAGTTAAAAAAAGCACTTTTATGCTGCAATGAGAGAAATTTACAAAGTTAAAGAAAGTAATGAAAGGATTTATGAGTCATTATTCTGCCATTTAGCAAACGGAAACAAACATTTTCATGGTAACTGACCTAAAAAAGGAAAACTTTACTCCGACTACTGCAGATAATGAAAATAAAAAAGTTGAACATAATTTGTAAACATTTGATTTGTCATTGTTAAAAAGTTTGTCTCAAAATTTTCCTTTTTTCCAATTAGGAAAGATTATATTAGGCTGTGCAAATTAAAAGCTTTATTTCTATATTTTTATCTGTTAACAAGCAGGAAGTGATGTTTAAAGTTTTGTTGTATTTTTTTCCTTTCCAGATGTTTATGATCAGAACAATCATTTTGTTCTGATCGTATTTTTCTGACAGAAGTTCAGGATTCTTATTTTATCAGCTGGTCTGGATTTAGAAACGACCTTGGAGGTCTTCTCTGAAAGTCACCTGTTCTCTCTGTGTGTGTGTGTGTGTGTGTGTGTGTGTGTTGCACCTGCATGTCTTTCACACACACGCGGCTCGGCTTGCAGCTGCTGAGGTTTCGGGAGGCGGTGATTACCGGCCTCATTTTCTCTGCAGTGTATAAACTGGTTTTACTGCTGCGGCGACGGAACATTTGGGGTTATTAACTTTTTTAACCCTGTGAAAATGAGCCAGGATGGAGCAGAGAGGATGTTTCCTGCAGGACGGGCTGCCAGCTGCGATCGGGTCACTGCTGGATCTTAGCCCCGTCTCTCCTTTCATGTCCGTTTCAGGAGATTCGTGGCGTTACGGTCGGAGCGGAAATGGATTTTATTTCCAGCCCAGTTTCTGTTCTGCTTGACCTGTAGGCAATGTCTTGAAGTAGGAATTATTATGCAAACATGTTCAGACGTTAATCGGCTTGAGGATCTCAGATCTCCTCTAAATGATCCTACTGACCGAACCGGATTGTCAGGAAGTGGGGTTGTTGGTGGTGAGGAGAGACGCAGAGAACCCAGGTTATGGTGAAGATAATGAATTTAATGATGAAAATAAGCTCAACAGTCCATACAGGCAGCACGGCAGAGACTAGCTCACAGCTAAGTACCGGTAGCAACTGATTCACAGAACTAAACACGAGAGCTGACACTTCCAGGACTTAAACAGTTCTACTGGCGAGTGACGGACACAAACGACGAGGACCCGACGAGGAACACAGACAACAGGAGGGTTTAAATAAACACGGGGCAATCAAGGGAATGAGACACACCTGGGGAGCAATCAACGGGGAGGACAGGACAGAGACTCACAGGGAAACAGGACTGAATAAACACAGAAAAACTCAAAATAAACAGAAAACCGCGGATCATGACACGGATCAGTCTGTCCATCTGATTCTGTCCACATCCATCGCAGCAGAGGATGCTGAAGCTCTGGGTGAAAGATGGGAATGAAAAGTGAGTAAGTGATGAAGATATCTGAATAAAATCATTAAATACTTCTGAAAGTTTCCTGTCTGGAGAAACTGCTCACATTGTTCCGGTTCTGGAGGTACTTTCTCCTCTCCTCTCTGACTTTCCTCCGGCTGCCGTGCGGAGTCTCATGGTTGCCATGGAGACGTGGTGACTCTCTGCTCAGTGAACTTTCTGATGCTTCGCCTCCCTCTCTGGTCGTCTTCCCGCCTGGTTCGTCCCAGGTCCAGCCGACTGTAGGTTTCTGTAAAGCAGAAGCTTTTTGGAGGAATTTCTTGCCTTATGAAGATCATCACACACCGCCAGGAGAGAAAATAGAGACTACAAACCTGAACTTCACAGTTTACAAAGTTTCAGGCTGCAGGTGCAAACGAGCTGCAAGCACATGAATGATATAAACTCCAAAACACACAAACACTAAAAACTAATGCAACAAAATGATGCAACCAGGAAGTAGAAGCAGAGGAAAATGTCACAAACACCAGGTCCTCCAGACCACTAGGGGGAGTCTGGAGTCGGTATAATATGTAAATATGCTGCAGTTCTATAATATTGTGAAAGTGTAACGGGCTCTTTGCATGTCAGTTTCCGCGTTCGGGGAAAAGCGGCTCGGTCGTTTCCGGTCTATTGAAAATGGCATTTTACACCAGGTGCTGCAGGGTTTGGCTGAGGTAACAATTAATGATGTACAAAGATATGAAGCCCCAACAAGTCAGCTGGAGAAAGGTTTTAAGATGTTCGCCTCGTTATACATTCACGGACACGAAGGTGAGTTTTACTTTAGGGTTAACTTTGTGGCTAACATTGACTTTAGCTTATAGGCAATATTCTTGGACATTGTTCTTGTAAAAATGTGATATTTAAGTATCTAAACACTTTTAATCCATTCTAACGGACAATGTTTTTACCTTATTTTCAAGTATATTATGTGTTTGTCATTAGTATCAAACAGACCAAGTAACGGGGAGGTTCCGGTTCGGGCTTTTTACTTCCGAAGCCTGACGGAGCTCAACAAGCCTCATAGCTTGACAGTAGCGCAGCTCTGGTGTCAGAGATCTGGTTCAGCTGTTCAGGTTCAAAGTTGCTGCTTTTAGAGAAAAATGACCGTGTTGCTTCATGTCTCCGTGTTATTTCGTTTTATTACCTTTGCATGTTTCTTGTTCAGAGCTCAGATAGGACGGTGTTTACTGCAGTGTGTTCAGGCGGATCAGTTGCTCGGCGGTCTGCTCTCTGGTTCCCATAAACTCTTTCAGGCCGAATACAGAAGCGACTCCATGGAAATAACTCAGGAGGCTCCTTTATTCACCATCCGTCTCCTCCGGTAGTTTTAAGAAGCAGCTGATCCGGAGTGAAGGCTGCAATGTTTGTAGCAATGAATATTTACAAGCCACCGACTTCTTAATTCATTATCGCTTGGCAGTTCATGAAAACTTAAAAGCTCATTATGTTTGGAAGACAACAATGTGCATAGTATTGCTTTACAGCTGTCTTTTCTAGTTGTCATTGTAACTCAAACCGGAAACAAGAAAGCCACATTTTGCTCATGCGGATGTGACGTCAGCGCTCTTTGGGCTCTTTTCAGTACAGTGTTTTATAGCAAGCACAAATGAAACTGAAGGTAAATGTATAAATAAAAAGTTAACTCAGAAAGATGCTAAAGTGGGAGCATATATCCATTGTCTTAATGGCTTTTCTATTTTTTGAATACTGGAGAGATCTAACATAATTGAATTCCTCTTTAAAGGCCGTCAGGGTAACAGGAGACGGCTGGGGACCGTCGGGGTGACGGGAGATGGCTGGGGACCATCAGGGGAACGGGAGATGGCTGGGGACCATCAGGGGAACGGGAGATGGCTGGGGACCATCAGGGGTAGACAAGGTGACACTGGGACTAAATTAACTAAAAAACACAACAATCTTACCGAGTATTCCTGGTTTAGTTTCTAGAGTAGATGTCTTAATTCACCTCAAATGTGACAAAACTAACTTACAAGTAACTTTTCTGAAATTCTTAGCAGCTCGTTGTAAGTCAATAACTCCCTATTATTGATGAAAAGTTCTGGTTCTACTGGCAGATTATTTCACTTACCAAACATTTTTCATGTTAAAAGTAAAATAATCTCTCAGTGGAAACAGAACTAAATGAGAAAATGAGAATTATTTACATAAAACAAACTCCTATTTCTTCCTGAAAAGTTACTTATAAGTTAACTTTTTTCTTATTTTGAGTGTATTAAGACAGTGGTTCCCAAACTATTTCTGGGCCCCCTATGGATTACACATAGCTGTGTGTTTAAACCACGCGTGTGAGGAGCGCAGGTATTCTCAGAGACTCCCTGTCTCTAAGAATGAGCGCGGTGGGGGAACCGACTTTTTTTGGGAGCAAAATGAATGTATGTAGCTGGACATGGACAACACCAGGAGCCTACAGGCTACTTGTTAATAAGGTGCTGCATTGATATTAGCTAGTCGTCTTTTATGTGAAGCCGGGATTAATAATTAATAAGCACACGGAGCTTCACATAGAAGGGGTTCTTTATTCTCAAAAAGACACTGTTCCCTCTGAGTTGAAACTAAATAAAAAGAATGAGATTCAATATATGGAGAAATAAAAGGCCTGTATTTCGAACGGTAGAAAGCCTTGGCTTCAGTGAAATGGGGGCTAACAACGCGGTTAGCACTCAGAGATGGACGCAGCTTCACATAAAAGCTGAAATCTAACAGCATAACAAACGGCAGGGGCAGCTCTAGAAGAGGATAAACAGAAAAACATGACATTAGCATCATCTCTGTAGCTTTGTCCATGGAAGACAATTCAGTTCCAACATTAATTACCGAACACTTGGATTCTTCTCTCATGTAGCCACAGAGTCTCTTCTCCACCAGGTCTCGGATCAAAAAATGTCCTTCTCTTCCATTTTACCAGTTAGTGCCACAGTACATAAACAAGAGCTTTCTTCTACTTCTGGTCATTTTAGACCTCTCTGTAACAACAGCACCACATGCTGACAAAAACAAGAATTACAACCAGTCGGTGAAATAAAAGCAAAACATGGTTTACAAAATACATTTGACATGTACCCATTTTTCACCTGGTTACATTTAGCTAACATTACCTGCATCCAGCAGCTTTACTCAACTCAGTCGGTTAGTTTGG